GCTTTAAGTATGCAACAGTTTGTGTGAATGTGACAGAATGAAAGCGACGATAATGCTGTGTGTGTGTGTGTGTGTGTGTGTGTGTGTGTGTGTGTGTGTGTGTGTGTGTGTGTGTGGGCGAGAGATGGCCGTCTCAAGGAAACAAACTCTGTCTTGATCAGTGTGATGCAAATTTCCACTTAAACCTGCAGCCATAACAAGTTCACTTCTTTTTCCATCAGGGGAGGAGGGTTCTTCTATGAAAGACTGAAAAGGTCAGTGTTCAAAGGTCCCGAAACACATGGATGGACTTAGGTGATGTGGTGTACCCAGAATGCATCACTACGACCCCGGTAACATCGAACATCTGTACCTGGTGGCCTTCACTGTTCAGCAGCTGTTCCCCCTTTGACATCTGACCTGGCCATTCTTCTGGATCTGACCACTCTCCAAAAATGTGCACATCTATACATGCAAGGATGGAGTCTCGTTTAATTACTCCGACAGAGCACATCTTCTCGTATGACATTTGAAAAGCTGGTATTTGTAAAGCAGCATGCCAACGGCACGTTGTTGTACTCTATTAGGCTTCAGGCTCTAACCAGATATCAACAAACAGCCCATTGTAGGTTTGAATGGTTTTCAGACATGCTAGCAGCACGGCTCCAGGCTGTGTCAGTCTGCCAGTCTGTCTGCTTGGTTGTTTTTTTCCTCTCCTTTGATCGAGAACGGAATATCTTAACAAATACTGGATGGAGTGCCGTGTTCTTTTGTGCAAACATGCGCTGTCCTTTTTTGTCTAGAACCACAACAAGATTGTATTATTGTGGTTCACAGTGAAATCCCAAAAACAAGAAATCTCACCCAGGTCTTTATGATATTATGGCTTTAATCAATATTAGTCGGTCCAAAAAATTTGCAAAGGTGCAGTGTCAGCTTTGAGATAATATGCAAAAACTGACTTGATTAAGATGTTGCCCAGAAAACAAGGAGAAACTGAATGTATTCAACATCGTTCATTTTGTGGTTTAACTTAAAATTGTTTTAATTATAAAGGTGGTGACATTATCAAAATGACAAGCATAGCTCTAGCTTTTTCTTGATCTCTACTAGAGTAGCTTTGCATGATTAATTATTAAAGTTATTCTTTATTTATCTTTTGAATGGAAGATGAATCCGAAAGATAAATAATTCAGAACCAGGACACGCTGGAGAAATTATATCTCTTAGCTGGCTTGAGAGTGCCTGAGTGTAGCTCCTGGATGAGCTGGAGGAGATGTCCAAGGAGAGATAGGTTGAGACCGGCACTGTTAGTGGATGGATGAATGCGTGTATGAATGAATGACTAATTGAGCTTGATGCACCCACTCAGGTCATCCGCTATCTTAAACAAACAGTTTTAACTCAACTCCATTTAATTTTATACATTTTTAATTCTATCTATTTTTTTAATGTACTGTATTTTTCAGACCATAAGGCACACCGGATTATAAAGCGTACTGTTGATGAACGTCTGTCTGTTTTCATACACCAAACTTAAGTCAAACTTTACTCAACCCATTCTTCTTGCTTCCTCCACTTCCGTACCATTGATTCATTAATGTTGAATTCTCTCGCAGCTGCTCTATTCCCATGTTCTTGCAGTATATTAATGACTAACCTTGTATTGTGTATGGATGATCTCAGTTGTTGTCCTGACTGAAGTTTGGTCCGTTTACAGCATACTCCACGAGGCTCCTGACTACGGTAGCTGTAATGCTCCGACAACCCATCAAGTGGTGCGGCTTCATAGCTTACCAAAGTCGTACTAAAACATTTTTGGACAGATTTTTGAGTGTTGTGTACCACATAAAATCGGCAACCAGAATTCATACATAAGGCTCACCGGATTATAAAGCGCAATGTCGATTTTTGAGAAAATGAAAGGATTTTAAGTGCGCCTTACAGTGCGGAAAATACGGTATAGAACGCCTAATCACAACAGCAGTTGCTTCGAGGCACTTTATATTAAAAGATAATAATATGAGATTATATTATAACTATAATGTTAGTTCCATTATTATTTAATATGTATTTATTTTTAAGTAATAATAAATTAATTAGAGCTATCCTTTTTCCTTTAACATCATACAGAGCCAGAAAAAGCCGTCTAAAACCGAGAGCTTGTCTCACATTAATTAACTGTACATTTACAGACCTCGCTTTTTGAAACTTGGCCATGTTTAGTATGAGCATCCACACTGGCACAATACATATTAACAGAAACTAAAGAAAGGCATAATAGCTCACCTCTGAGACTCACGCATGAATCAGGTAAAGCTTTTGCCTTTTGGGAAAAAGTGAAAGGGGCTAATTTCATGAGTAAACCTTAGTGTGACACATTAGTCTTATTAAACTTACATATAAAGCATTAGCATTTAGAAAATAGGAAACTGGGGAATTGGAAATTCTATTCCATATGGCTGAAAGATGACTGGCTAGTGTTTCTGTAACCACAGAACAAACAGCCATATCAGTTTTCATTGAAGATCAAAATTGTTTTAAAAATCCTTTAACTTCCAAAATATCGTCATCAGACGTGTTCCATTTTGGTTTGCAGATGATGTGGTTTGCGGTATAAACACAAATCACACAATCTCCAGTCACATCCATCTCACATCATCTGTACATTAACAGTGAGCTGCAGCTCTTTCAGCCAAATGACATTAATTTTTCTCAACAGTGACTTCATCTGCCTCTGCTGTGTGTAACTGTTCAGCCCATTTCTCCGAGCGCTGTGAGCGAAGGCAGATCTGGGACGCTGGGAACAAAACATCAGTCAGTTTAATCAGCTGCACGCTACAAAATCATACCTGCATGTTCTTACGGAGTCACAGCAACCTGGGCAGGTTACCTTCATTATCGGCACAGTGTAACAGAGCGATGTGCTCTGGACAGCATTAAAGAAGAACAAATCTTTGAAATTAACTATGCTGACAGGCTTCGATTGTCACAGTCAGAGTTGTATAAACTGATGATGGAAGTCTATGATGAAACGCATATTAGGTCTCATTCGTCAAAAGTGACACTAACGCACACATCCAGATGGTTACAAAGAGCGCATGGAAAGTGTCGCTTTGGCAGAGAACTTTAGTGGGTTGAGAAATGACGCAGGAAAATGAGCCGTGTCCCAGCACAGGAAATGACCTCATGACATTTAGAGGGAAGCCTACCTTTTCTTTTCTCCATCCCAAACATGGCCTCATTTTGCAATTACATGTTCACACCATAAAACAAATGCTTGTTATGAATTTTCTACATCCTCAAACAGCTGTGTCTGTTTATAATGAAGTAAAAAAAAAAATCTCTGAATGTGTTCAAAGCAAAGTGCAAGCATTATTTTTCCAATTCTCTCCCCTGTCTTCACTACACCACTGCTGCCTTTTTATCCATAGGCCTTACTGGACAAATTATGAAACTGGTGGTTATTGCCTTATAATTAAATTTACTGGGAAAGTCACATATGTTAGACACGGAGTTCTCACACTATCTTGCATTAGGCAAGGTGTGTGAGAGTTAATTCATTCTTCATGCAAACGCTGCACTTTACACAGTGGTACACAAAAGAAAAACCCAAAGTGTGCGCTCAAGGTAACCGTGGAACAGAGCCGGCATCCCATTCACTCTTTCTGTGTCTGCACCTATTCACTGTCTTATCATCCTTTATCTAATCTGTCTGAATTATGCATGGCAGGTCAAATGTCTATTAAGCAGACATCACATATGCTGATCTATTTACATTTTGAGGTCAAAAAGAATAGTACCAGCCACCTGGTTGGCTTGTTAATAATATCAGTGAACCTAAAAAAAACCTCACAGACAGACAAGCAAAAATTATGTCTTCTGGAGAATGGCAAACCACTGACAGAGGTGTAATTATGCGTTAACTGGCAGCAGACAATGGCCTGACAAAGGCTATGTTCACACTGCAGGCGAAAGCGCATCAAATCCGATTTTTTTGACCCTATGCGACCCATATCCGATCATGGTATGACAATGTGAACGGCACAAATCCGATATTTTTAAATCCGATCTGGTACTGAATCCGATACATATCCGATGTTTTAGAAAGCGACCGCTGTTTCAATGGTTATGTCGCATTAAATCTGTCTTTTACGTCACTGACACAAGACAGACGCTAATTATCAGCGCCGGAGAGGACATCGCAAACGCTTCCTGGCCATCCAGTGTAGATGTTAGTGAAACTGTTTGGAAGACAACGTGAACATTTTATTTGTACTGTATAATCTGCAGATTCTGACAGAAATCACCAACTATCCTTTGAAGCACCGCTCTTCTCTAAAACAGCAATAAGGATAATTATTAGGTTATTTACATTATTATGTAAATAACAAAATAACTTAAAGCAAAAATTGGGAAACGTAAAGTCCAAAGTCTTTATATTAAGGGCTATCTGTTAAATAATACTGTTTGCTCTGGGTCTAAACAGAGCGCGTTGTGAGTGACGTCTTCTTTTGCGCATGCGGGCCGCTTTGAGCGTTCACACTAGAGCGCGTTTGCTGTCGCATTTTATTTGTAGTGTGAACAAGCAGACAAAAAAAATCGGATTTGATCAAAAAATCGGAATTGAGCATTAAGACCTGCAGTGTGAACGTAGCCAAAATCTAGCAAAGAAAGAATGTTAAGGTGTCTGATGGCCGGATGTGGAGCCACACAACTCTGAAGTTGGGCAAAAGATTTGCTCTGGGATGCAGCACTAAAATATACAGCAAGTGCTAACTAGGCCAACCAAGTGCAGCTTTTTCATGGAAATTTTTCTCTGGCCAACTTTGAGACAAACGACCACTGTTTCAAAACTACAGTGGAACCCCGACTTACAAAATTAATTCGTTCCCGAGGGTCTTTTGTAAGTCGAAGCACCCATCGCTCCTTTTGAGTGAACGATAGGCTATAGGCTAATTGCTAACTGCAACAACAATACGTCGTTCAAGTGGAACAGCGAAGCGCAAGTACGAAAGCCAAGGGGTTGTCACATGATTCGGAAGGCATTCTGGTCATTCTGGGCTCAGCCAATCAGAGCCAGCGGATTTCGTTACGAAGGCATTTTGCCATAACACGGGCAGAAATATTGCTGTTAAGTGCCTTGAACTTGAATTTTTCATTAAATGGGGTATTCGTAAGTCAGGGTTCCACTGTTTCACTAAATATAGACGGTATAGAAGTTAGGCATAGAGATGGTGGCTTCTCAGAATTAACATTCGGTTGCTGCCATGTTGGTTTTATTTTGTTTTGGACTTAAGTTACCTTATAGGCTAGAATGCTAATTTATCATTTACCGCTAACTAACTTGGTTAGCAAGCTGCATTCATCAACTATGCAGGTACAACTCACACGCACACATATCAACTACTTGATAACAGGCTGATAAAACTGCACAATCTAGGGTGACCAGATCCTACAAACTAAAATGTTCGTCAAACCCTGTTTGTGTGGGACAAAGTTGGACACGTCAACAAGGCTGAAAGAGTCTGAAATGTTCATATCTAACCTAAAAAAACCAATAAATTGTCCATTTTACCAGACAGTCCAAATATATTATTGCTGCTTTTCTGTTTAATAACACTTTTGGGTTTCAGTTTGAAAGTATCCATAGACTGACACACCTTTTTTGAGCCATATCTAAGAATTTTATCCAATTATGACACACATATGCCGAGTCTCCTCACACAGTGCTTTCCCTTGTGTAAAACTGAAAAATAACTTGTTGTTTCCATGATATTCAACAAAATCTGCACAGCTTTTTTGGTTATTTGGACATTTCCTTGGTGGCCTTAGACAGACTAACTTTCTGACTATAATAAAAGTACTGGCAGTCTGTAGTACCCCTCAGCCTCCGAGTAGATGCACCTATAGTATAAACTTCCAAATTCAAGGTCACTTCCTTCTCGAGATGCTGCATTCACAAGATTTTGAGGAGACTTTGTATCTGACCTTAAAGTTGAGTTCATTGAGATTCAAACATGTCTAACATTTTTAGCTGATACACCTAAGGTATCAATTTAAAACTTCTATGTTGTTTTTTGCCCAACAGGGTGACACTGAGGGGTAAAAAGCTTTCCCTTTATAGGTAAAAGCCAGACTTTAGAAAAGTGCATGTGCTATAGAATGTCCCACATTTGAGAAAATTGGGGGGATTGTCTCAAAATGTGGGATGGGACACTAGGAATAAAGATGTGTGATCCTATAAAGAAGGACATCTTTTGTTTGTGCCAGCCATAAATTAGTCATAAAAATACTACAAAAGGCAAAACAATACACGCAAACAAGGTAAAGGTCTGGAAACCGCTCTTTGGGCATCGCCATAATTCATCCACAACAGTCAGCTTTTGTCTGTGACAGCCAAGAGTATAACAGCTTCATTTCGTGTACAATGGTTAGTATTAACGAACAATACAAAACTAGGAAAGACAGGAAAGAAAAATTCAGTAAGAAATGGAAAAACTTACACGAGTGTGTGTGCGGATGTGCATCTTCAGGCCATCGTTCTTGCTAAATGCTTTGTCACAGTAAGGACACTGATATGGGCGCTCACCTAGGAAAGGAACACCATAATACATCATATATGTATATGAATTTGATATGGCATCACAGAGGAGTAAACAGTTTTTGAAACTCGTACGTATATCAGTAAGGCATCACTTGTAAAGAACCCCACAAAGAAAATATGAAAGAACACGTATGCTGCTCACTTTAAGGCTAGCGCTAGCAGCACAGAGGTCGGGAGATACAGGTACCATCAGTGCAAGAACTAGTGCAGTTAGTTCTTGCACATGCAAATAAATGGCATGAAAGTAACTACTTTGTGTACAGCCTTTAATTGGGACCATCAAACATGTGACTAATCTGGCCCAGTGGATGGCTTTGGAAACTGTGAAAACTACAGTGGAGCCATCAGATATCGACAGGTTCATTTGCCTAACTTGTGATTGATTTTAGCTGACAGGAGTAGAGTAGCACCAGGTGTTGTCTTCTCATGCTGTAGCTCATGTGCGTCTAGGTTAAATATGCTGTTTATTTGAAGCTCTTCTGCATACCTTGATTGTAACATGTGGTTATTTCAGTTTCAGTTGCTGTTGCCTGGCTATTAGCTAAAAGCAGTCTAACCATTCTTCCTCTGACCTCTGACATCAAGAAGGCATTTTCACCCAGAGATTGAGTCTTTTTTTAGACTATTCTCTGTAAACACTAAAGATGATTTACGGTAAAATTCGTAGTAGATCAGCAGATTCTGAAATACTCAGACACCAAACAGCCATGTCATGTTTAACCTCCTAAGACCCCAACTCTTACATGGCATGCATTTTTAAATTCTCTTTGCTATTTGGGCTGTTTGGGACCTGATGAATGTAAAAACAAAGAATTTCCAGATTTTTTTTTTTACCTGATTTTTGTCTCTGAGAAAAATGAGATCCACATAAGAGGACATTCATTTGAAATTTCAATAGAACAGTGGCAGTAAAATGTCCTCGTAAGTGGATATCAGGCCGTTGTAGAGCAAAATTTAGTATTTTGGTCTAGACATCCCAAAATGTGATGTCCACATTTGTCAATGCCAGGTCCTAGGAGGTTAAAATCATTTAAATCACTTTTCCCCATTCTGACCATTTCTCGACGCTGGGTTTGATGTCTAAAACTACCCCTGCTTATTCATATATATTCTGCTGCCTTTGTCCTATTCAGTAAACTGTGTTTTTGTCCTGCCCCAATACAAATTTGACCTGGTTACTGGTGAAGAACTTCTCATTCATTGTGATGCACACTGTCTTTCCACTGCAGAGCTAAAGCTTGTGTTGGCTCGCTATCTTAGCTTCAACTGGCCAACCGTTTAGGAGCACATCACAAGCAATGTGGCTTCTCTTGGTTGGATCAAAAACATTCAAGCCAACCTCCTGCAGATCCTATCTGAGCACACATCGCTGATGACAAAGAGAAAGTGACAAGCTGTCAGTCAAATGGTTCACTGACACATGGATCTGTTTACCTTGCACTGATCGACGGGCCAGATAAGAGTCACAGAATGGATTTCTAATCTATAGAAGGGATATGAGGTAACCTATAGGACTGTGCTGAAATTAAAGATTCTGACAGGATAATACAGTACAAAAACTGACAAAAAATGCAGGTTCCATTATTGCCTAATTGAATTCATACTCTGCAAACTAAACATTAAATTCACCCCTATGTCTAGAAAACAGATACATCAGGATATCACAGTGATCAGGATTTTTTTTCTCCATGTGAAACTTGGCTGAATTTATATATATATATATATATTTCTGCCCGCAAGTGCTCACAGTACTATTTAATGAAACGCTATCGAAAACAGATACCTAAAGCTACACATTTGTTGTTCGTTTCTTCACTACAAGCATCTAATTTCCTATCAGCTTCACAGTAATCTCTCTTTAGTGAATAATTGTCGAACAGGCAAGCAAGGAATTTTATTGATGGGGGAGATGTTTTACCCCTTTAAGTAATAAGGTTAATTAGCCGTGTTTCCGTGGGATTCAAAATGCAGAGATGCTTATTAAATCAGAAAATCCATCTCGGGACTAGACGAGTAATATTATCCTACCGCTATAAACAGGACTGTGTTGGGGTGATTTTGTGCTTCTGTTTCTAGCATTAGGTCCATCTCTGTTTCAACAATGAAAGCTTGGGCAAGGTATGGCAATTTTTTTAATATTATTTTCTAAAGACTAAGTTACAAAAACAGAAGGTCGACGGCTTTATTCTTACCACATCCTACAAAGCCTGCATCTTTCAACATTAAAGCTACAGCAGCTGTCATGTGCAAAACATACAAATTGGGCTCTAAACACACCATAACCCCACCCACCCATCCGCAAGACAGCTTTAAAGAGGCATGAGGAAGAGCGCTCTAGTAATACAACGTGTAACCTCAGGTTGGTGTGCAAAGGATTTACGTGACATATGTGAACTGATTACACGTACTGAAACATGTGCACGAGGGCAACTCGGCATTCTGTCCCAAAATCCCCTTCTGAGCAATTTCAGCCTCTAGGAGGCCTTTTGTTGACAAACAGGAAAATCTGAATCCCAGATGTGTTTTCAGACAAACCCTATGTCTTATGTAGCATGCGTGGTATCAGGTTAAGGCCCAGCGCTAGCCTTGGGGAGTCCTGGGGAAGGCATTAGTGTGCTAATAGCACCAGAGCACAGAGTGCTAGTGTACTCTGCAGCTTGGATCACATCCCTCCCAGGAGCTGGCTATTGTCAGCAAATATACAGCACAGACAGCCACACCCTGCTAACACTGAGCGTTGCTACAAGTGCATACCAATTCACCTACTTAACCTATACATTGTTTGGTTCTGAACATGTGTGTTTCATCAAGAAACTACAAACAGATTAATTGATGGTATCCAATATTTTAAAAAGAGGTCAGTAATAAATATGGTCTCTTCAAACACCCTACTCAAAATCAGTTCTGTTCAACAGTCAAGGCTTTTCCAGGGTTTCAGTCTGATTGGACTAAAACAAGAACCCCTCAATCTCTTAGCGGAACAGGAAATAAACAAATGCTACTTGGAAACCAAAGCAGTAACTTTGGAACATTGGTCTCTATTATTCAGCGTCTGTTCTGCCGAGTGTTACTGTAACTAGAAACCCTCCACTTATTCTCCAGATTGAGCCAGATTGTTTGGGGATTATGAGGGGTGGCTGCAGCACTGAGCCAGGGCTTTATGTGTGTGGAGATGGTAACTGATTTAGCATGTGCTGAAACAGTACACCATCTCTTTGACCCTGGGTGTCTCCCCCAGCCCCCTGCTGTGGCCCTCACACTCCTTGTCTGCTAATCGATCCGTTTGGCACCCCTCGTGCGTTGTATATGTGTGCGCATACGGCCGTGTATCTGGTTAGCAGATGGTCGGCTTTGTCGTTTTGCCTGCCGCACGGCGTTCGTGTTATGGAGAATGCTTTGTAGCTTCGGGGCTCCAGTCTGAAAGACATTAGCGCTGTCCATCAGAAATTAATTCCTGGCTTCCTCCAGTTTGGGGGAGACAGTGGCCCTCCGCTGTCCTTCTCTCCGCTCTGTGCCACATGCCGACAGGGGCCAGGGAGGTAACGTGATATCAGTGTGTTAAAGATGATAAGAGATTGCCTTTGATGAGCCATAGGAACGTCCAACAACTTTTACACTTGACCTTTCCATTATAGCAAAGGGCTCAGAAGTTTTCACCACTTCCTCAAACAATTCGCTCAAAGTACCATACCAAGGTACCTCTATCGAGACGAGTCCGTGCCCGAGCCTCGCCACACATGGTGCAGATCTGATCCAGACGTACCTCAAAACCAAGCCCTCAATCCAAATTAACCATCTCAACACCCATGCAACAGTGACGTACTATTCATCATCGAGACAAACAATAATTCACTACATGGTGATTTTGCTTTACAAGATTGTAACCATGACCACAGTCAAGACAAACAAAGTCATCTGTACGTAAATAGGTTCAGTGATTCCAGAGTTCTGCCAGATGTCAGTTCAGGGGCAGCTGTTCTGGCGTGAGACCGCTACAAGCTGAAACGTGTAGCTTTAAAAACATCAAAATATGGGCTGCATATAATTACTATAAAAAATGATACCATGATCAAGACAATTAGTAACCTCCAAGCTGTGCCAGCAGTATGGATAGTATAAGTTAAAACATTATAGTATTACTATGTGTATTGCTTCTAATATAATTTGTGGTCTCGCTGAGAAACTTATTTGTACAAAGAACAGAGCCTTTCTTATCTTGTGCCAGGGGGTAATCTCTATTACAGCAACCCAGTGTTTTAAAAAAGCACATTGAATATTCGTTTTCTGGCACGGCCATCTGTGTAATTATACAAATGTTACAAAACTCAGGTGGCAATGATTTACCAACGTTATACAGAGCACACAACTGCAGCGCACGCCTCTGAGTAAATGCTAGCATTTACTGTCCCTTGCTCTACATCTGTGGAAACCATATACAGAGAGCTGTATTTACATTATCTACTGTATACAACCTGTTAATATTAGAATGCAGGGTTTGGCACTAATGATTATCTGGTGGTCTGCATGGCTGAGATCTCAGGCTTTTCAAATTGTCGGCGTGGCAGGGTTCATCAAGCTGTTAAACATGATGACATTAACAGGTTATTTGTATGTAAATGTGCTTAATGAAAAGAGTAATCTCCATAAGCAGATACACGCCTGTGAATACAAAGTATCTATTTGTAGCCTGTAGTGTGAGTTCTACTGACCAATCACGATTAAGTTGCATGGAGACACACAATATGTGCGGTGAGCAAAAGAGGGACTGTGATTGTCAAAATGTAACCGCACACTGATTGGTTATTATCTGGCAATGATTTAAATATAACAATACAGCAACATTTATAACAACAGGTCATACAGGAAGCTTTGACCACTGATATCAAAAACCTAAAAGTTGTCCCCAGAGACTAAGTTAGCAGACTAGATTACTGGCTCTCAGATTGTGGAAATAGATATAAGTCATACAGTAGAAAAGCTACAGT